GCTAGCAGCAGACATGCAGGCTGTGGTGGTCAGCTGTCCTCCATATTCCCCTATCAGTCACCAGCCTGGGGACTGTGGAGCTGGAAGGACCTCAGCAGCGGTTTCCCAAGTTTGCAGAGGCCTGAAGCCTGAGGTCCTCCCAGGGGACCTCACACTCCTCCCGCTCAGCAGCCGGACGACTTTCTGGTTTGAGTCTTCTCTGTTTGGGCTTTGCTGCCCCTGGGATAGAAATTAAAATGCCAAGGTTGTTGATTCTTGAAAGGAGCAATTCACCTTTTCATCCCCTCCTGATTTTAGATGGGAACCGTGAAGGCTCTGTGGTTTACTCCACGTCCTTGTGAAAGATGTCATTCTTGTTGGAAGACTCCTTGCCGTGACATTTCTGTGCCATGTTTTTCACGCATGTAGCACTGGGGAGTCTGTACATATCCCTAAGCCAGAGTGATTGTCTTAACTAGAAAAAGCCATCCTGGAAGACAGAAAGGGAAATATGCATTTTGCGTGTCCTCTGCTTTCTCTGGCCACAGCAATGAATCCTCCAATGTACCTGAGTTTCAGTTCACCATGAGCATCTCCTACGTGGCAGAAATCTGAAAATGCCTCTGGGGAGACACACGCACAAGACAGTGAGCGATGCTGCCATTTCCCACGCCTCTCACAATGTGCTTCTCTGGTCTTATTAGGACTAAATGAGTACCTTAGTCCATAATCACAGTGAGAAGAACCACTGCAGACCACATACCTGGGGTCTTGAAAATAATTCCATGCATGCGGGACTTTCAGAAGCCCTCCATGTCTGTCCGGAAGGGCCCCACAATGTCTCCGGAGCTCAGCATGGAGCATGGGCAGGATTTTCAGCCCCACTCACCCCCTCGGCCAAGTGCTCTTGTGCGGTGAACAAACTGCACACCTGTGCTGGGCAGAAGCATTTTACATCAGTCCCCTTAAGAGTTAGTCTCCTTGGCATCATTTGATGGGGGGTGGGAGATGAAGTGCTTCTTGGTTAACTTCTTGGCCCCTGCACCATGTGAGGCTGTTCCAGCTCCCTTGGGGCTGGACTCCCGAGACTTTTCTTTGGCAGCATTCTTCACAAATGCCCAGGCGCCCTGTTCTCTCCTGATGCTCCACTCTCCCACCTCTTCAAAGTGCCTCTTCTGGATGCTCCTTGGGCCCATGAGGACTGTTGATTCTCCGCAGGCTTTTGCCGACACTTTGAATCTTTGCCAGGCTGTTTTCCTGTGGTTGGACAGTTTCTAATTTCCTTTGAAAGACTGGGCATTTAAATTTGGGACCTAAAAGGCTAGACTGTATAAGCATGGCAGTTTCTTCTTCCCTTTCAACCTCATTGTTTTCTTGAATTTCTGCATCTAACACATTTTCCAGAAAATAAAGCTTTCTCAATTTATTTTCATAAGTTGAGTTGTTGGAGGCAGGTTGAAGAGAGGGGCTCTTTGCATTTTGTTTTTCTAAATACCCGGGGGCCTATCGCCATCTTGTACTTTTGAAAAAAGCAGTTTAAGGAACATAACATTGATTCCATATCTTACAGATTTTTCACTGAGATATAACACAAGCTCTCGTCACTGAGTCTAGCTGCTCACTCCCAAAGCCGGACAAGTTGATGCTATTGCTGTTTGAGGGTACCTCCGGCTCAGTAGTCAGCTCAGTGCTCCTGTGCTTCTTCCGGGCTTGTAACACCTTTATGAAGGCACCTTCTGGATTCCCTACAGATGCTTCTTCTATTGTCAAAAAAGAAGAGACTGCTTTGATAATGAAAGATGATAGGACGGCATGCATCAACTCACAGCTGTACACCCCGGTCACACAGAGTAGGAGTTAGCAAACATTCAAGTGCCAGTCAGAGAGGAGAAACATGCACCCAAACCTAAACCTATGAAATGGCAACAACAAAAGGAAGAAAGACATCTTTTGAAAACATGCTCACCTACTTGGAACATTCCATAGTGTGACATATAGTAGCTCTGCTTAGGATTATTCATCAAAGCCCAAGGTGGAACACAAGCGCTTCCCTGATGAGCTGGCCTCTCTGCAGACTGCTCCATAACCTGTGCTGTCCTCCCTCAGATACAGAGAGAGCACAAGGCTCCCTCTCTCCTCGTCCTCAGTGTGCCCATGCTCTTGCTACCATCACAGCTGAATGCAATGAAAGGCAACCCTCTGAGAGGAGCAGGGGCGGGGATGCTAAAGTGGAGGCCCCCTCCCATTGCTGACAGAGCCTCATCTGCCATGTGCTCCACCCACCTGCACGGTTCTCTGCTCCCACACATCCCAGCTCCATCACAGAAGACTCAACACAGAAAAAAACACTGTGTCCACCCTAGATTCTTTTCTTAAATATAGGCAGCGATCTGGGATGTAGGTTAGGAGATTTTTAATTTGCCAGATCGTATGTCTATGTTGCTGAAGGTACAGTGAATCTATGGCATAATAGCAGTTTCTGGAAAAACATTACTTGAGGTCCTAAAATGCAGAAGAGAAAAATCAACTTTTGTCAGATGCCTACTTTGCTTTCATTTCGTCGCTAATATTTTGGATGGGGAACCATCCAAAGCTTCTGACTGCATGAAGGTCAAATGTAGCAGTGTGCAGCTGGGTTTCTTTTCCAGAATTAAAAGTATTTTGTGGTGGGGAGGGTCAGAAGAAGAAGTAAAGATTGTGAGAAAGGAGAAACATGGGCTTGGGGAAAACCCAGAATTGGGGACAGAAGACCTGGCACTAGGCTGTAGCACTGTTAGCACCTCTGATCTTGTTTTTCCTCATCTGTAAAAGGAGATTAACAATGCTTTTCTGTCCATCTCTTGGGGAGAAGGGTATAATATAATTGATGAAAAAAAAAAAAAAAAGAAAAAAGTTTTGAAAAATAGGCAACACTGTCTTTATGTAAGTAGCCAAGTATTAGTATTATTTATTATCCACCCAACATCACTGGTAGATACCTATATTCAAGCTATCTGGAAATGAAAGAAGTCACATTTTAGAAGTCATGAAGTTGGTGCTTATGAACCTAATCTACAGAAAAACTTTTGAAAGCACTTGAGTGTTTGTTCTGTGAATAGACAGGTTTGAGATTCAGAGCAAGTTCAGAGTTGGACAGTCTAAGAATGCAAAAGCCCTCCATTCCATTAGAAGAAGCAGGTAGCAATTTCTGGTTATGGAACCAGAAGCGCTCAGGCTTCAAATAAAATAGCATCACTTGTATGCTCATAAAGTTGTAAAAACAAAAAAACCGAAACTGGATCTACATCTGTCCTATAAGGCAGGGAGTACTTGAGACCTCATGCATATAAAACCAGCTTACAAACTACATTGCTAATTTATATGAATAAATTATCACTGGGGGCAAAGCACCAAGCAGAGGGCACAGTACACAGGATGTGGATGTTAATGTCATTCCCTAGGCTTCCCATTCCTTTCTCTTGGTCCTTTATGTATATGGAACAGTTCTATTATTAAATTTTGTAATAATAACAGAACCTGACTCTCAGCAAGGAAGAGTTCAGAAATTTAGGGAGTTTAACTCTGAATGAGTAAATAAAAATAAAGCAATTATATCATTAGCTGAAAATTTTATCATCAATTAAAAATAAAAAAGTTTGGCTGGGTGCAGTGGTTCAAGCCTGTAATCCCAGCACTTTGGGAGGCCGAGATGGGCGGATCACGAGGTCAGGAGATCGAGACCATCCTGGCTAACACGGTGAAACCCCGTCTCTACTAAAAAATACAAAAAACTAGCCGGGCGAGGTGGCAGACGCCTGTAGTCCCAGCTACTCGGGAGGCTGAGGCAGGAGAATGGCGTAAACCCGGGAGGCGGAGCTTGCAGTGAGCTGAGATCCGGCTACTGCACTCCAGCCTGCGTGACAGAGCGAGACTCCGTCTAAAAATAAATAAATAAATAAATAAATAAATTTTTAAAAATTTTTAAAAATTAAAAACAAATACTTAAAATAATGTAACAAGTTATCACCAGGCAATTTGGACTGATGACAATGTGTGGTGTTTCTCAGACATGCACTATTGCAGTGCAGCTTGACTGTCTTGCAAACAGCCTCAATGCTATTTTTAAATTGGCAGAGGCAGCAGGCCATATGGCTAGGTAAGATCCTATAAATGAAAACACAGAATAACAAATTAGTGATAAAGCGGTTACTTGAGTAGATAAAGGCGACAGAAAATGCTACCACAGGGGTGGGCAAAAATGAGTTATTGAGGCCTATGGACTGGACAGTTGGGTAGGAACCAGAAGGCCAACAGGAAGGAGGACAAAGGTGCCCAACAGAAGGGTAAGCATGGCGGCGAGTATGGTCTGCCTAGAATAAAGGTCGTTGGGATTAGAATTAGGTGACACTGATCAGTAGTCTAATTCAGAAGTATCTCTTCCCAACTCAGAAGTCTCACTCTGGGCTGAAAGTACACAGGAAGAAGGAAGCATACCTCAGCCTTAAACGACTGAAGAAGAGTGTCAAGTAGCAGCAGGTGGGAAAGTGGCTTTGGTTTTGAGTTTGTGGGCTCTGAATCCACACAAAGACAGGACTGCATTCTGAAAACCTGAATTAATTATTGTCCTTACCTCAATGAGACAGTAAATTATAATCAAAATCATTAGTATTACAGTCACAGATATTGCCAAGATGAGTTTGTTATAGCCGTATCCTGGAACTTCTTTAGTGAAGTTAAAAAAAAAAAGGAAGGAATAATTTTTTTAAAAAACTAAGGGCATGAAAGCTAACTATTCAATACCCCAGTATTCCAGGTGAGTAGCTTACAGGTTCTTTTTTATTTTTTGAGGCAGGGTCTCACTCTGTTGCCCAGGCTGGAGTACAGTGGTGCGATCATGTTTCATCTTAGATTCAAACTCCCTGGGCTCAGGTGATCCTCCCACCTCAGCCTCCCGAGTAGCTGGGACTACAGGCGTGTGTCACCACAACCAGCTAATTTTTATATTTTTTTGTGGAGACAGGGTTTCACTATGTTGGCCAAGCTGGTCTCAAACTCCTGACCTCAAGCAATCCACCCACCTCAGCCTCCCAAAGTGCTAGAAGTACAGGTGTGAGCCATCATACCTGGCCTACAGTTTCTCTTGTGTACTAATCTATTTCACTCTCTAAATGAGCAAAGTGGGAGATCACTGTCATGGCCAGAGTTACGTGGCCAAGACAAACTATGGTCTGGGAGTCGAGGTTCTCCTGTGTGAGCACTTTCCTTGTTGGTGGAAGGGCTGAGGCAGGGCTTGCTTGTCTGACATAATGTAAAAGAGTCTTGGAACATGTGCTGGGTCCAGAGTCTAAAACCCCTCGTGACCTATGGAACACCCAGCTCTGCACCAAAGGGTGGAAGGCTGCCCTGCCACACTATAATCTAAGTCCAGGGCATAAAACCCCTTGTGGCTTGGAGAGAACCCAGGGCTCAGGGCATAAAACCCCTTGTAGCCTCTGGAATGTGTCCAGACTCGCTGGCCCCTTGCTCCTTTCTCTCCCAAGATCATAAATTGATTGTATCTTGAATTAGAAGAATCTGTCTCCCTTATCTCAAGTGGCACAGCATATGCTAAGCCATCACAGCTATGCTTGATGCACTGCTGCCTTTCTACCCCCACTTCCTCACGTCCTCACCTGTTACCCCCACATCCACACATCCTCACCACCTGCTTCTTTGTTTGATTACCAATAAATAGTGTGGGCTCCCAGAGCCCTCGAAGAGCCTTCACAGCCTCCATACTGGCATTGGCCCCCTGGACCCACCCTATGTTCTCTTAATTTGTCTTGTCTCATTCCTTTGACTCCACCAGACTTCATAGTCCCCATGACCTGGTGTTGGTCTGATCACCCCAACATTCCTGGCATATGCTAAATGATGAGAAAGTCTGGGTCTCGTGTTTCTGTGTGGTCCTGCTCTTTCTGTTCACTCTGGGCTTCTGTGCTCTCGTTAATATAGTTCTCAGTTCTTGCTGCTCACTGAGAAGCTTCATCAGGAGGCCTGTTCTGGAGATGAGCTTGGCACAGGCCAATTGCATGTGGGTTTCAGAGCAGTCCATTTTCAAGGTTTGGATAACATGAGAAATGAGCCTTCTCACATCGTTGTTGAGGATGAGGGACCATAGCTGCTGGTTTAGCTGAATTTCAAACCGGTCACCTGGGGATGAGGGCAATGGGTAGTAGAAGATTTTGGGCTTGGGGGACAAGCCAGTGCCCATGTTGTTGTATTCCCATTGTGTTTCACTGGTGTGTTTAACAGTTGTCTCTAAGTTGAACACAGTCCCAGTGGAATCCGCCACAGGAGGATGACTGTAGGTTGTGTTTTCAGAGATGGTGCCTTCTGGCATAGTAATGTTTTCCACCAAAATGTTTTCTTCTAAGGCATTTCTTACTGTGGTGTTTTTTACATTAGTGTTCTCTATAAAATGTTCTGAAGGAGCAAATACTACTGGAAAAGGATTTTCCTGAGGACTCAGGTCTCCTAAAGACAAAAAAGCCCCTTGTGAAGGGGAATTTATGAGGCTCTTTGCTGCAGAGAACGGAGGCCTCTTTGTGAGCATCAGTCTATTGAGAGAACTTTTCTTTCTGAACTTTTGACTCTTTTTGGCCTTGGGTGTTCTGTGGACCACATGGGAGCAACTTTTAAGAAAGCAGTATTTTTTTCTGGAATGTACGATTGATTTTAACTGTAGCCTTTGCATCTTCTAAAACCAAAATGGCATAAGTTAAGTATTTCAATCTGTTTCTGACCTCAGGTCGGGCTTTTGCAGGGGTGGAGGCAGAAGGCACGCCCATGGAGAAGGGTTTCAGCAAAGAGAAGACTGCCGCCTTATGCTCCAGTGTGAACGGAGGCTTGGTGTAGATAGTGTTTCCTGCTAACTTCTTGGGCCCCTGCTCTTTGTGAGGCTGTTCCAGCTCCCTTGGGGCTGGACGCCCAAGCCATTTTTCTTTGGCAGCGTTCTCCATGAATGCCCGGGCACCCCGTTCCCTCCTGATGCTCTGCTTTCCCACCTCTTTGAAGTGCCTTTTCTGGATGCTCCTTGGGCCCGTGAGGACTCTGTTCACTCCCCGCAGGCTTTTGCTGACATTTGGAATCTTTGCCAGGCTGTTTTCCTGTGATTGGGCAGTTTCTAATTTCTTTTCAAATATTTGGCGTTTAAATTTTGTTACCTAGAAGGCTGGACTGTATAAGCATGGCAGTTTTTTCTTCTCTTTTATCTTCATTGAGTTTTTCTTGAATTTCTGCATCTAACACATTTTTCAGAAAATAAAGCTTTCCCAGTTTATTTTCATAAGTTAAGTTGTTGGAGGCAGGTTGAAGAGAGGGGTTCTTTGTATTGTTTTTCAAAATACCTAGGGGACTACCTCCATCTAGTACTTTTGAAAAAAGCAGTTTAAGGAACGTAACACTGATTCCACATCTTATAGATTTTTCGCTGAGAAATAAGGCAAGCTCCTGGCACTGAGTCTAGCTGCTCACTCCCAAAGCCTGACAAGTTGATACCATTGCTGTCTGAGGGTGCCTCCGGCTCAGTAGTCAGCTCAGTGCTCCTGTGCTTCTTCTGGGCTTGTAACACCTTTACGAAGGCTCCTTCTGGATTCCCTACGGATGCTTCTTCAAACTGTCAAAAAAGAAGAGATTGCTTTGATAATGAAAGATGATAGGACGGCATGCATCAGTCCACAGCTGTATGCCCCGGTCACACAGAGTAGGAGTCAGCAAACATTCAAGTGCCAGTCAGAGAGGAGAAACATACACCCAAACCTAAACCTATGAAATGGCAACAACAAAAGGAAGAAAGACATCTTTTGAGAACATGGCCACCTACTTGGAACATTCCATAGTGTGACATATCGTAGCTCTGTTTAGGATTATTCCATTGATCCCAGGGGCCAATTGCCCAGCGCTCAGCCAAAACCTAAGGTGGAAGACAGCCACTTCCCTGATGAGCTGGCCTCTCTGCAGACTGCTCCATTCCCTGTGCTGTCCTCCCTCAGATACAGAGAGAGCACAAGGCTCCCTCTCTCCTCGTCCTCAGTGTGCCCATGCTCTTGCTACCATCACAGCTGAATGCAATGAAAGGCAACCCTCTGAGAGGAGCAGGGGCGGGGATGCTAAAGTGGAGGCCCCCTCCCATTGCTGACAGAGCCTCATCTGCCATGTGCTCCACCCACCTGCACGGTTCTCTGCTCCCACACATCCCAGCTCCATCACAGAAGACTCAACACAGAAAAAAACACTGTGTCCACCCTAGATTCTTTTCTTAAATATAGGCAGCGATCTGGGGTGTAGGTTAAGAGATTTTTAGGGCTACCCTCTTTGGGTCCCCTCCCTTTGTATGGGAGCTCTGTCTTCACTCTATTAAATCTTGCAACTGCACTCTCTTTTGGTCCGTGTTTGTTACGGCTTGACTTGAGCTTTCGCTTGCCGTCCACCACTGCTATTTGCCGCTGTTGCAGACCCGCCGCTCACTTCCATCCCTCTGGATCTGGCAGGGTGTCTGCTGTGCTCCTGATCCAGTGAGGCACCCACTGCCACTCCCGATCAGGCTAAAGGCTTGCCGTTGTTCCTGCACAGCTAAGTGCCCGGGTTCATCCTAATGGAGCTGAACACTAGACACTGGGTTCCACGGTTCTCTTCTGTGACCCACGGCTTCAAATAGAGCTATAACACTCACTGCATGGCCCAAGATTCCATTCCTTAGAATCCGTGAGACCGAGAACACAAGGCTTGCCACCATTTTGGAAGCAGCCCACCACCATCTTGGGAGCTCTGGGAGCAAGGACCCCCCCATAACGTTTGGCAACAACGAAGGGATCTCCAAAGCGATGGGAAACATTCCCCTCAAGGCAAAAACGCCCCTAAGATGTATTCTGGAGAATTGGGACCAATTTGACCCTCATACGCTAAGAAGGAAATGACTTATATTCTTCTGCAGTACCACCTGGCCACAATATCCTCTTTAACGGGGAGAAACCTGGCCTCTTGAAGGAAGTATAAATTATAACACCATCTTACAGCTAGACCTCTTTTGTAGAAAAGAAGGCAAATGGAGTGAAGTGCCATACGTACAAACTTTCTTTTCATTAAGAGACAACTCGCAATTATGTAAAAGGTATGATTTATGCCCTACGGGAAGCCCTCAGGGTCTACCTCCCTACCCTAGTGTCCCCCTGACTCCTTCCCCAACTAATAAAGACCCCCTTCAACCCAAACGGTCAAAAAGGAGATAGACAAAGGGGTAAACAATGAACCAAAAAGTGCTAGTATTTCCCGATTATGCCTCCTCCAAGCAGTGGGAGGAGGAGAATTCGGCCCAGTCAGACTGCATGTACCTTTTTCTCTCTCAGACTTAAAGCAAAAAAAAATAGACCTAGGTAAATTCTCAGATAACCCTGATGGCTATATTGATGTTTTACAAGGGTTAGGACAATCCTTTGATTTGACATGGAGAGATATAATGTTACTGCTAAATCAGACACTAACCCCAAATGAGAAAAGTGCCGCCATAACTGCAGCCCGAGCGTTTGGCGATCTCTGGTTTCTCAGTCAGGTCAATGACAGGATGACAACAGAGGAAAGAGAACAATTTCCCACAGACCGGCAGGCAGTTCCCAGTGTAGACCCTCACTGGGACACAGAATCAGAACATGGAGATTGGTGCCGCAGACATTCGCTAACTTGTGTGCTGGAAGGACTAAGGAAAACTAGGAAGAAGCCTATGAATTATTCAACGATGTCCACTATAACATAGTGAAAGGAAGAAAATCCTACTGCCTTTCTGGAGAGACTAAGGGAGGCATTGAGGAAACATACCTCCCTGTCACCTGACTGTATTGAAGGCCAACTAATCTTAAAGAATAAGTTTATCACTCAGTCAACTGCAGACATTAGAAAAAAAACTTCAAAAGTCTGCCTTAGGCCCGGAGCAGAACTTAGAAACCCTATTGAACTTGGCAACCTTGGTTGAAATCAGAAGGAGCAAACGGAATGGGACAAATGGGATAAAAAAAGGCCACCGCTTTAGTCATGGCCCTCAGGCAAGTGGACTTTGGACGCCCTGGAAAAGGGAAAAGCTGGGCAAATTGAATGCTTAACTAATAGGGCTTGCTTCCAGTGTGGTCTGCAAGGGCACTTTAAAAAAGATTTTCCAAGTAGAAATAAGCCACCCCCTCTTCCATGCCCCTTATGTCAAGGGAATCACTGGAAGGCCCACTGCCCCAGGGCATGAGGGTCCTCTGAGTCAGAAGCCACTAACCAGATGATCCAGCAGCACGACTGAGGGTGCCCAGGGCAAGCACCAGCCCATGCCATCACCCTCACAGAGCCCCAGGTATGCTTGACCATTGAGGGCCAGGAGGTTAACTGTCTCCTGGACACTGATGTGGCCTTCTCAGTCTTACTTTCTGTCTCGGACAATTGTCCTCCAGATCTGTCACTATCTGAGGGGTCCTAGGACAGCCAGTCACTAGATACTTCTCCCAGCCACTGAGCTGTGACTGGGGAACTTTACTCTTTTCACATGCTTTTCTAATTATGCCTGAAAGCCCCACTCCCTTGTTAGGGAGAGACATTCCAGCAAAAGCAGGGGCCATTATACACCTGAACAGAAGACAAGGAACACCCGTTTGTTGTCCCCTGCTTGAGGAAGGAATTAATCCTGAAGTCTGGGCAACAGGACAATATGGATGAGCAAAGAATGCCCGTCCTGTTCAAGTTAAACTGAAGGATTCCACCTCCTTTCCCTACCAAAGGCAGTACCCCCTTAGACCTGAGGCCCAACAAGGACTCCAAAAGACTGTTAAGGACCTAAAAGCCCAAGGCCTAGTTAAACCATGCAATAGCCCTTGTAATACTCCAATTTTAGGAGTACAGAAACCCAACAGACAGTGGAGGTTAGTCCAAGATCTCAGGATTATCAATGAGGCTGTTGTCCCTCTATACCCAGCTGTACCTAACCCTTATACTCTGCTTTCCCAAATACCAGAGGAAGCAGGGTGGTTTACAGTCGTGGACCTTAAGGATGACTTTTTCTGCATCCCTGTACATTCTGACTCTCAATTCTTGTTTGCCTTTGAAGATCCTTCGAACCTAACATCTCAACTCACCTGGACTGTTTTACCCCAAGGGTTCAGGGATAGCCCCCATCCATTTGGCCGGGCATTAGCCCAAGACTTGAGCCAGTTCTCATACCTAGACACTCTTGTCCTTCGGTACATGGATGATTTACTTTTAGCTGCCCGTTCAGAAACCTTGTGCCATCAAGCCACCCAAGCACTCTTAAATTTACTCGCCACCTGTGGTTACAAGGTTTCTAAACCAAAGGCTCAGCTCTGCTCAAAGCAGGTTAAATACTTACGGTTAAAATTATCCAAAGGCACCAGGGCCCTCAGTGAGGAATGTATCCAGCCTATACTGGCTTATCCTCATCCCAAAACCCTAAAGCAACTAAGAGGGTTCCTTGGCATAACAGGTTTCTGCCAAATATGGATTCCCAGGTACGGCGAAATAGCCAGGCCATTATATACACTAATTAAGGAAACTCAGAAAGCCAATACCCACTTAGTAAGATGGACACCTGAAGCAGAAGTGGCTTTCCAGGCCCTAAAGATGACCCTAACCCAAGCCCCAGTGTTATGCTTGCCAATGGGGCAAGTCTTTTCTTTATATGTCACAGAAAAAATAGGAATAGCTCTAGGCGTCCTTACATAGGTCCGAAGGAGGAGCTTGCCACCCGTGGCATACCTGAGTAAAGAAACTGATGTAGTGGCAAAGGGTTGGCCTCACTGTTTACGGGTAGTGGCGGCAGTAGCAGTCTTAGTATCTGAAGCAGTTAAAATAATACAGGGAAGAGATCTTACTGTGTGGACATCTCATGATGTTAACGGCATACTCACTGCTAAAGGAGACTTGTGGCTGTCAGACAACCGTAAGGAAAGTAACTAAAATTGTAAATCCCCATGGCCCTCCCTTATCATATTTTTCTCTTTACTGATCTCTTACCCCCTTTCACTCTCACTGCACCTTCTCCATGCCACTGTACGACCAGTAACTCCCCTTACCAAGAGTTTATATGGCGAATGCGGCATCCTGGAAATATTGATGCCCCATCTTACAGGAGTTTATCTAAGGGAACCGCCACCTTCACTGCCCGCACCCAGCAACTGCTATAACTCTGCCACTCTTTGCAAGCATGCAAATACTCATTATTGGACAAGGAAAATGATTAATCCTAGTTGTCCTGGAGGACTTGGAGCCACTGTCTGTTGGACTTACTTCACCCATACCAGTATGTCTGATGGGGTGGAGTTCAAGATCAGGCAAGAGAAAAACACGTAAAGGATGTAATCTCCCAACTGACCCGGGTACA